TGGGGGGGGAGGAATTGGGAGTTTGGGGCAAACTTTTTCCAGGCTGCACGGATTCTGGCCAGAATCCACTCCCTGGGGACACACACACACACACACACACACACACACGCTGCCTCTGTCTCCCATTTGGGCAAAACCCTCCCCCCCTTGCACCCACATGTTGTGCCAAACTTGGGGTAATCTTGTGCCACCAAACCCTGCTGATCCTAGGAGGGTTCTCTGAGGACGTGGGAGGTTCAGGGAGGGGGTTCCCTCTTCCTCTCCCCCTGCGAGATATTTCACATGGCCCAACGGGATTCGAACCCAGATCTCCAGAGTTGGCCCAGGCCAACGCTCTGCCCACTACGGGCCCCCCACCCAGCTCTCCTTTGGGGTGGCACACCAGCCAGAAAAGGCCTAATCCCCTCTTTGCGGGCCGAGGGGCTTCTGCTTTCTCGGTTGCCTTGCGCTTAAGCGGTTTGATGGGGAGGAAGAAGCGCCCAGAAACATGGCAACTTCTGTCTCGGAGACCCTGGCAGTTCACTTGGCTGGGCTCGTTAGGGGAAGAGTTAATTGCCGCCAGATGCAAAGCATTACGTAGCATTCAGAGAAACTGGGGGAACTCTTTTCTCTAGATCGGAGACAGGCGGTGAAAAGCAGGCAGCTGGTTGGTGTGAAATGCATCAGCGTTGCCAACTTCCAAACCACCGCTGCTCCTCTGCCTCCGTCAGCAGCCCGAAGTAGGGAAATAAGTTGGAGAAAAACATATTTTGCGTACTGCCATGGGAAGGTTAGCTCCCCTATTGATGCCCTTTCAAGGGGCCCCAGAGACGCCAGTCTGGCCCATTTTTAAAAAATTTTTAAATCCAGATCTCTGATCTCCAGTAAAGGTTGGAGGATAGGAAGTGTTCGTGTCAGCAAGGCCCAAGTGTTTCCGGTACCCACATGGCTAGAAAAACCAGCCTGTGTGGCCCAGGCGGGTGGGATGATGATGGCCCGTCCTCGTGGCCTCCGACACATCTCCGAGAATTGTGCTTTCTGGGCAAGACGTTTGGGTCGCCTTCCAAACGGGAGGGATTCCCTTTGGGGGCCCTTCACTCCCAGCAGCACATTTTTTAAAAGTGGCTTTTTTTGGGGGGGGTAATGAAAGGCTGGGGATGCTGGGTGTTGTAGTCCAAGGAAGGGGTCGTTCCCGAGCTGTTTAGCTTCAGAGGCTTGCATGGTGAGGTCTCGGTGGGCTTGGGGCTGTGCAATGGGGCAGGAGGCAGGCTGGCCGTGCACACTTTTCCAGCTTCACAGGAGGGCTTCCAGGTGCAAATCCTGCAACCAGCGACACCCTTCGGACCCTAGGGGCCAAATCAGAGGTCTTCTGGACATGCACCGTCCCTGGCCCTCATCATGATAACCTTACTGGTCAAGGAGGAGCACCCGGGGGGGGGGAGCCTGGGTGGTTCCCCGTCACAGGGGGTTACCGCAGTTGAAAAAGAAGAAGAAAATACGTAATAACCTCTTCTAAAAAGGGGTGGAAGGGCCTTCCGTAAACCGTGATGCCAAAGCAAACAGGCCTTCTTCCCTCCCTTCCTCTTTCTCCCCGTCCTGAAGTCTGAGCATGCATAGATGTTTTCCATTTCGTAGCGTTCTCTGCTGCTCAACCAGGGCGGTTTCGAAGAGTCATTGTTTCCCCGCCTGGCTCTCCGACCCCGTCTTTCCAACAGCGAGAGGCCCGACGAGCGACTTCTGATTTTTCCACGCACCCTAAAAAAAAAAGCTTTTAGGCATTCTCCTTCCAAGCCGTTCTTTCCCTGCCTTGGCGGGTCCGTCTCGCGAGGGTTAAACCTTGTGATGTGTTTTGCCAACTTCTCTCTCTTGGGCGCCTCAACCAGGGCGGTTTCGAAGAGTCATTGCTTCCCCGCCTGGCCCTCCGACCCCATCTTTCCAACAGCGAGAGGCCCGGCGAGCGACTTCTGATATTTCCACGCACCCTAAAAAAAAAAAGCGCTTTTAGGCGTTCTCCTTCCAAGCCGTTCTTTCCCTGCCTTGGCGGGTCCGTCTCGCGAGGGTTAAACCTTGTGATGTGTTTTGCCAACTTCTCTCTCTTGGGCGCCCGCTGCTTCTCCTCTTCCTCCTCCTCCTCGCTGGCTGTGGTTTTTGTGACACTTCCTTTTGGGTCCAAATAACTTCTCAGTTTTCGGTTTTTCGATCCCTTGGTCAAGTCGGAGCTGTCAAGTCCCGGTGCATTGTGGGAGATGCCAAGACGTGGCGGCAACCCTCTTGAGATGACCCAACCTCACCGGCTCGGCCATACCGAGACGCCAAAAAGGGGATGGGTTTCATCTTGTTGGCAAAGAGCCAGGACTGACCATCTCTGCCGGCTTGCCAAATTATCCTGATGTTTGAACTCAGTGTTCCTCAATGGATGGCTCCACGGATGGGTGAGACTGCAACACCCATCATCCACCTGAGGGACCCTGGTTGACAAACCTGTTTTTTTACACCAGGGAACAAAACTCAGACTTAGGAACTCAAGCAAGGGCGTAAGGAAAACCCGAGCGCCAGGGTGGCGCGGTAGACGGAGCGATGGTCTAGGAGTCACGAGACCCGGGTTCAAATTCTCGCGTGACTTGAGACAACTTAAGAAATTGTGGGAGATGGTTTCTCTGAGCTTGGGTGTCATTGCAACAGGACGGCTGCTTTCTCTCCACCACACCTCTTGCGGTCACCTCCGAGCTTCCTGTCTCTGTCGGGCCTTGCAACCGCTTCCTGCCGGTTGCTTGGAAACTTTAGTCTCCCTCCACTCTAAATCCGGAGAGAAACCAATTTTATTTTATTTCTTTCCTTGCAAACTCACCTGCAAAGCCGTTTGTAAAACCATGAATGATGATTTCAGAAAATTACCTCTAAGAACGGGAAACGTTGGGGGCAGGTGGAAAGAGTCTCAAACCAGGAGCTCTGGGGGCCTTCTCTGGCTCTCTCTCTTCCCCCCACCCCCAAGCTCTTTTCTGGCTTTCCTCTTTTTGGAGGGAGTTACCTGCCTTGAGTTACCTGCCTGTAGTTATGTATTTTTCCATGTATAAGACGCCCCCCCCTTTTCTAGTCCAAAATTAAGAAATCTAAGTGGGGCTTAGCAAGTGCAGGGGGAAAGGGATCAAAGCGCTGCAGGATCGTTTCGATCCCTGCTTCCCCCTCCACTTGTTTTTGTTTTCTCCTCCGCTTACTTCCGTGTATAAGACGACCTTCAATTTTTAGTCTAAAGATTTTAGACAAAAGTATAGTCTTATACATGGAGAAATACGGCACCTGCTTCCGGACCCCAAGCTGGCGACCCTTTCGTGTGCTTCCGGTTCTGTTGTTTCTGACTTACAGAGGCTCTAAGAGGGTTTGCAAGTTATGCGAGATATTTATGGGATGGTTTTCCCGTTGTCAGCCCCCCCCCTCCCAATGAGGCTTAACCGTATAGTCTTATACACGGAAAAATACGCTACCTGCTTCCGGTTCTGTTGTTTCTGACTTATGGAGGCCCTAAGAGGGTTTGCAAGTTATGTGAGATATTTATGGGATGGTTTCCCCGTTGCCAGCACCCTCCCCTCCCAATGAGGCTTAACCAGTTCTGCTCAGGCAGTGGCTAGACCTCACCTTGAGTCCTGTGTCCAATTTTGGATGCCACACTTCAAGAAGGACACTGATGGATTGGAACAAGTCCAGAGGCAGGCAACCAGGATGATGATCAGGGAGGTGGAAACCAAGCCCTGGGAGGAAAGACGGAAAGAACTGGGCAGGTTTAGGGTTGCAAAAAGAAGACAGAGGGGAGAGAGGAGGAGAGCCCTCTTCAAAAGACTTGAATGCTAGTCCTCCAGAGGAGGGGCAGGATCTGTTCTCGATCCTCTCAGAGTGCAAGGCACGTCATGATGGGCTTAAATGACAGGAAACCAGATTTCGGCAGAATGTCAGGAAAAAAAATATCGTAACTGTTAGAGCAGTACGACAGTGGAGCCAGCTGCCTCAGGGAAGGGGGTGATTGCTCTAAGGCTGGAGGCCTTCCAGAGACAATTGGACAGCCATCCGGATTTCTGCATTGAGTCGAGGTTGGATTGGATGGCCTTACAGGCCCCTTCCAACTCCATTGCTCTTTGATTTTGATTCTAATGTATTTCCGTGGTCAAGCAAGGATTTGAACCCAGTTCTTCCGTCTTTGTCTGGCATTTGACCCAAGGGGCCACACTGGCTCTCCTTGCTTATATTTGTTTACCCGGTACGTGTCTACCTTGTTGTTTCGCCCACAAAGATGGGTGGCTTCCAGTGTGGGTCATGCCACCCCCCCACAGCTCTCGGCGTTCGGTTCAAAAATTTAAGACACGAAACACAAGGAGTGGGTCTGCCCGTTGCATTCAGCCCCTTGCAACCCGCTTCGAAGGCAACATGGCAGAAGTGTTCTAGTGCAAACCAACCCTGCAAGGCGGGTTGCTCGGAGCCTGGCAAACAGAGCCAAGGAGAATGGCAAACCCAGGTTGTACCATGTGTGTGCATGGGGAGGGGGGTCAGGCCGGGCAGCCCGTGCATATGGCCCTTGCGCTTTTTCATACTTCCAGTTCAGCCGTGTCGCATGCCATCTGCGGCGCACCTGCTGGCAGTCTCTCTTGTGCGCTGGCCTTAAAGGTCCAGGAACCCTTGCTCTCTTTTGGGGCTGATTCCCCCCCCCTCCGGTTGCACAGGAGTGAGCTGGTGGTGGCAAGAAGGGCCACGGACCAGTCTCCTGGCGTGGATTTCCCTTTTCCAGTCTCCTGGCCCCCCAACCTCACCTGGTCCCTTTTGTCTCTCCTGATCCCCTTGCCCCGAACCCTTTAGGGCTGCCATAGAGACAGTGGAAACGGAGGTGTCTGTGTTGGAAACCCAACTGGAGAAGGTAAGACCGGCGGAGTGGGGCGGGGGAAGCATTTGAGTGGGGTCAGGTTTTCTCCATCGCCTTGAAGGTGGACTCTCGGCATCAAGTTTTGGGTGGCTTTCCCCCCCCCTCCCGGTGGCCATCAAGAACGGAAGATCTGAGCTGTGTCTCTCTGGATGGCATCGCTTTTGTTTTGGACTACCACTCCCATCTGCCCCAACCCCACACGGCTGCTGGCGAGGAAACATGGAAACCGTAGTCCAAAGTACTCGGGAGCAGGTCAAAGCCTTCCCGTTTCCGGTGGGTGGGTGGGCTCGCTTTCTGGAGCCCACGTTGGCTTTTAAGCCTCTAAACTCATGATTATGCCAGAGGACGAGGAGGATCGGATGAATGCAGGGTGGTGGAGAAATGGAGAGAAGTGCATGGATTTATTCTCCTTTTTTTTCCTCCAAAGAACTCAAGGCAATTTTCGTGGTTCTCTCCCCAGCCTCCCCCCCCCACCTTCTGGGTTTCCCTCAAAAAACAACCCTGTGAGGTTGGTGGAGGGTGAAAGCCTTAGCGGTGCCGCTGCTAGAACAAGGTTCTTCCCGGGGAGAGCTGGTTTTGAACCTTTCTTTCAGCCACCGAGCTGACTGGGTGGCCCTTGTGGAGGCCAGTGGCTGTCTCTCGGCCTCGTCTAGTTTACAGGGTTGTTGCGAAATAAATTTACGACCGTGCGGGCCTGGCTTGTGCAACCTACGCGTGCCACCCAGAGTTCTTTGGTTGAAGGGTTGTATTTTTTTTTTAAAAAAAAAAATCTAATAAAGTGATAAATATTAAATTTGGCTACATGGTAACCCTTTTCAAAGACTTGAAAGACTCTCCTAGAGAGGAGGGGCAGGATCTGTCCTCCATCATCGCAAAGGGCAGGAGAGGTGACCATGGGCTCAAGCGACAGGAAGCCAGATTTCAGCTGACTATCAGGAAAAACTTCTTAACTGTTAGAGCAGTAGGACAACGGAACCCATCACCTCGGGAGGTGGTGAGCGCTTCAGCACTTGGAGAGGCCGTCAAGAGAAACCTAGACAACCCCCTGTCTGATCTGCTTTGATTTGGATTCCTGTCTTGAGCACGGGGGTTGGACTGGATGGCCTCAAAGACCCCCTTCCAGCTCTAGGATTCTATGACTTAAACAAGAATTTTTTGGGGGGGGGAAAGTTACTGGATTCTGGGCATTGTAGTGCCCCAATGTAATTTTTACAAGCTCCAGAGTTGGTCGGATGAAAATGTGGTATGACGCCCGTGGGATTTCAGAGAAGAGGAAGGCAACGAGGAAGGGGAAGAGGTTCACGGTTCAGGGGTGTGGAAGAGGCGCCCCTTAAATTAGGATGAGATCTGGGGATGAGCAGCGTGGATGTCCCGGAATATGGTCGGACTGCCGTTCCCATCCGCTGCAGCCTGCCGAGCCTGTGGGGCCGAAGGGTGGCCACCGCAGCCCAGATTTTCCCAGCGGACGGCAACTGGCCTACCTTGTCTGGAGGTCCAAAGCTGATGCCAGGCTCTCACGCCCCTCTCTTTGCCCTCCTCTCCTCCCCCTCTCCCCGCCAGCTCTTGAAGCTATGCACCACCATGCTGGAGTCCGGACGCCAGTACTGTGCCCACAGCAAGACCTTCGTGTGGGGGGTCCAGGAGCTGTCCCACCATTCTCCGGGGGACCCCATGATGAGCGTAAGTCTGTGCCCGGTGGGGCCGCTGAGCGCGCGAAGGGTGAAAAGGTCTGGGGAGAGGGTGGGAAGAAGCCGGGCGCCATGCCAAGAGAGATGCCGCCTCCAGCCGAGGAGGTGGCGGGAGGAGAGGTGGTCCCGGAGCATCCCGGATCTCGGCCGGTTGCAGCTGGTCTCGCCGGCCCCGTCTGTATTTGCAGGAAGAGAGAGAGAGAGAGAGAGATGGAGACTTCAGAGAGATTTCCCAACCAGCCTAAACAGAAATGAGTATTCCAATGGTGGGGTTTCATCTCAGGGCAAAAATTAGGAGTGGAGGAACTGAGGATGGAGGCTTTAGGGAAGCTGCTTCTCCACGCCAGAGCTTGTTTTAAGGATCAAGGCCTTGCTTTAGGGGTGCCTCTGAGCATGTGCAGGTTGCTTTTTGCCCGTGAGCACCCATGGCAGGTGGGAGCAGCCCGGTCACTCCCACATAGCCGTTTCTTTGCTTTGTTAATACTGTATCATGATCAGGACCTGGAAGAATTCATTTCCTGGGAGGGGGGGGCAACTTTCTAATTCCTCAATCTTCTAAAAGCTGGAAGCTGAACTCTGACGTGCTTGGTGTTGTAGCTTAAATTACTCATGCATTCAATTTTTATGTATCTCCCCTCTGACCGGCATTCACTCCGTATGGTTCCCAACACAACAAACATAGACATAGTATAACAAAGTGCTCCAAATTTAAAAAAAAAACAAGGATTCAAACTAAAAACAAACCAAACAGGCAGCAATTCATATATAAAAAGGCTGATACTTTCATGGATCTCAATTCGGCTGATTCTGAAAAGCCTGTTAGAATAAAAATGCTTGAAGAAGCTTCTTTAAAAAGATATCAGAAGGGGGAGCCTATAGTAAAATGTTCGATCGTCTGATGGCGATCTTATATTTCCCCCGGGAAGCTCAGCTCTATATGCATGGATCTCCCCCACCTGCAAGGTAGGTTTGAGCAGAGAGAGATGAAAGGTTGCAATTTTGGGTGGGAAATTTGGTGCCTGCAAGCCAGACCTAAAGGCTCCCCGACTCCCTTTGGACAAACCAAGGGCTGATTCTGAGGTGCGTCTTGACTGCCATATAGACGTCTGTGGACGTCGGAGGGGAAAAAAAGGAAAGTCAGGTCAATTTCCATCTTCAATAATTGTTACTTGGATACTCTCAGAAATGACTCTGCAACCGATTATGAGTTAGTTACTTGAAACTTTGCTTGAAATATATAGAGCAGGAGAGTTAGTGACCTGCGATTTTTTAAAAAAACTTTTTTTACAACAGATCCTGGGGCTTCAGGTTTATTTATTTTTTAAAAAATCAAGGCTTTAATTGTAATTTTAAAAAAAACTAAAACCAGGGAGAAACCGGGAAGGGAGAATAAGTAGGAGATACTCATTGTCTTTTTTTTTTTTTTTTTTTGTGGTTGCTGTTTCTGAAACAGACCTTGAGGTCTAGTAAGATCATGTTTTCTTTTTAAAAAAAGAGATCCCCACATTTGCTGTCTTAGCTCTTTAGTAAACTGGGGACGGGGCATTTTGGTTCCGGATCTGGGTGCGAATCATCCCCAGATGACCTCTCACAAATCCTCTTGCTTGCTTTTTCTCCCTCCCGCTTTCTAGGAGTGCTTAGAAAAATTCTCGGAGAGCCTGACCCAAATGATCGACAGGCACGAGGTGAGTGGCGTGGCCCGTTTCGAAGCTTCCAGGTTTTCTGCTTTTCTCTTTTCCAGGAGGCCCCCTGAGTCACCCCATCCTTTCCGGGGATGTAGGAAGGAGATCTGATCCCGGACGAGGGAGGAATCAAGCAAGGACGGATGGGAGGGACAGAGAGACATAATCTGGAGTGGGTGGGTGGGTGGAAGGCCCTACCGGACGGTGGCCGGGTTTGTGTATTTTTGAATAGCAGCACCTAGAATTCATCATCCAGAAATGCAAGTCTGCCCACCTCCAGAACCTCCAGAATCTACCTGTGTTTGTGCTGCTGTTGTTGGCAAAGGGTGTTTGTGTGCAATTAAAAGTCTTTGGGAAATAAGAATCTGGATCCCTCCGTTTTGTTTCTACGATCTGAAGCCGCTCTGTCTCTACCTCCCCCCCCCCTTTCCTTTTGGTTTCCTTCCACTTTCATTGTGGGTGCTGGATTTATTTATTTATTTATTCATTTATTCCATTTATACCCCGCCTATCTGGTCATTGCGACCCCTCTAGGCGGCTTACAACACAAAATTTAAAACAGATATATATATATAAAATAGATGGAGGTGCCCGTTGCTCCAGGGCCCTCCGGAGATGCTGGCGGGTCTTTGGGGCCGAGCCCCGAGCCTGAATCCCTATTAAAAACAATCCGATGAGGTGGATTTGTCCATGAAAGCTCACATTAAAAAAAAATGTAAAAGGGAGCTTTTCAGGTGCCCTCCCCCCCTCCGTTTTGCCTTTTTTTCAATTTCTGTTTTGCTTTAAAAAAAAAAAACCTCTCCCCCCCCCAAAAAAAAGGAGGGGTGGATGGGTTCTGAGTCCAGTCTAAGTCTTTGGGCCGGGGGGGGAGACAACACCCAAGTTGAGTTGCGGGTGCGACTTAAATCTGACCTGACAGACGACTTGAGTTCCCATTTCAGGTATCCTTTTCTGCAGGACCCACTTTTCCTCTGTCAAGCTATTCTGTTCCCCCCCACACACACAAAAACCTCATGGAAAGCACCAGAAACTCTTAGCATTCTCTCCCCCCCCCCATGCCTCCAAATAGGGAAGGTGCTTTCTGTTTGCTTCCCTGCCTTTGAGAATGACTTTTGCCTCTTTTTCTTCCTGCCTTTCCTGAGCCCTTCGGGGCTTCCCCTCTGGCAATTCCCTCTCCACGACGCCCATCTCTGTTTTTTTTTTTTTTGCCGTAGGAGCTGCTGGATGTGACCCAACAGTCGCTGAAGAATCAGCTCCACAGCCTCGTGAAAGAGTTGAGTGAGCGACTACAACACCCACAACCCTTTGCCCTGGGGCAGCTTGACGGGGGGGGATCCTGGAAGCTGGAGTCCCTAACCTTTGAGGGCAGTAGGATGATGCGTTGTGAGGGGAGGCGTCTCTGGAAGGACGCTTTGGGGGGGCAAAACTAAGATGGGGCCGGACCGGCGAGGGTCCCCATTTACTCAGCCTCTGTCTGAGTGGCAGAGGGGATTAGAGATGGGCACGAACCAGTTCGCCCCAGTTCGTAAAGGGAGGAGTACAGGGGCTGCGGCTCCCCTTCCCCGCCTCCTCAGCCAATCAGCCCCTTGCCAGGCCCAGCTTGCTGGCTTTCCCTCCCCGCCTCCTCAGCTGATCTCCCAATCACAAGCAAGAGCACAGAGAAGCCTGGCGAGGGGCTGATTGAGCCAGTGCTGTGGCCGCCTGGATGCACTGCGACGAACCGGTTCGTGCCCATCTCCGGAGGCGATCTTCCATGCCCTCCTGCCATTCCTAAACCAGTGGATCCTGGTAGATTTCATCATCCAGACTGATCACTTGATCGTGAATGTGGATCTTTATACCTTGAGCTTGTCTCAAAGAAGGCTCAATCTGGCAGACATGCCAAGGCGCACCATGCATCTGGTGTTCTCTGGATCAACGCACAGCTTGGGCATCCTTCCTGTGTTTGGCGCTTCTCCTCATTGAGTTGATCTGCTGCTGCTTCCTCATTTTGGTGTCCCGCCCCCCCCACCTTGTTTTGCCACACCTTTTCCTAACTCTGAAATAACCCTAAGCCGGTACACAGCAATTGTGGTATTTGGAGCAAGACCCCAGCGCAGGTTTCTAGAAAGAATATTTTTCATGTAAATATTTGATGTAAATATTTTGCACAAAAAAATATTTTTGGTGTAAAAACCGAGATCTTGCTGTAGGTGATTTATTTCCGCCAACTGGGTCGAGATGCGTAGGTTGGTTGAAGGCTCAACGTTCTCCCCCCCACCCCACCCCGCCCCCACAACTGTGTTTTAGGGACATGAAACATTTCAAGGAGGCCCGGAAGGAGTTTGAACGGGGCAGTGAAACTCTAGCCAGCGCTTTGCACCACAATGCTGAAGTGCCTCGCCGGCGCCACCACGAGGCCGAAGAAGCGATGGTTGCCCTGAAGGCATCGCGCACCTCCTTCTGCGCCCGAGCGCTCGACTATGTGCTACAGGTAGGCGACTGGGCGGCTCGGACGCCTGGATTCTCCTGGCTGTTCTAAGGAGAGTCGTACAGCCGAGTGAATTTCCAGAAGGTAGAGGGAGATGATTGGAGGGACCCTCTGGGTTGTCTTCCATGGGGAGTACGGTGGTGGCACAGAAGGAAGGAATTCCCAGAAGGAACCCATGGTTGTTTTTTTTCCTTTCCATCTTTCAGATCAACGTCATTCAGTCTAAGAAGAAGTCGGAGATCCTGAAATTTGTGAGTCCTTTTCGGAGGGTGGTTCTATGTGGACCCCCCCTGGCTTAGTGCTCTGGTTTGGCCCCGTTCAATCAGTCCATGGAAGTGGTTTGGTTTTCACCAGATGGAAAATTTTAATACAGTGGTGCCTTGCTAGATGATTGCTTCGCATAACAACAAATTCGCTTTACGATGAGGTTTTCGGAGTGATCTTGCGCTTCGTATAACGATGTTTCCTATGGGTGATTTTCGCTTTATGATGTTAGGGACCTTGCCTCGCAAGACGATTAAATTTTAGGTCCCTGTTTTTTGCTTTACGATGTTTTTGACAGCTTGGTCTTGCTTCGCTAGATGGGTCTTTTAATGGTCGCTGTTTCGTTAGACGGCTGTCTTTGCTTGGGAAACGCGTTTCGCTTAACAATGTTTCCTGTGGCGATTTTCGCTTTACGATGACAATCCGTTCCCATTGGAACGGATTATCAGGTTTTCAATGCATTTCAATGGGAAAACGCATTTCGCAAGACGATGTTTTCACTTAACAGCGATTTTCGTGGAACGAATTAACATTGTCTTGCGAGGCACCACTGTACATGGAATCAGGGCGGTGCCAATTTCTGAGTGTGTTTGTGAATCCACTCCTGGTTTTGAGTCCAGCCATTTATAGGCATTATCAGAAGGGTTGAAACCTGTTCCTAAAAACAGGTTAACTGCTTGGGAGAACACCTGTAAAGTTCAGAGTAAAACCCGGAAGGGGTCCGCTACACCAGCCAAATTGGAGTCAGTGGCGATAACATTCCTAATGTCTCAGAGGCGTGTTTCTGTTCACAGGGCCAGCCAGCTGAGCTCTTTCCTTTCACGCACTTTGAGCCCCCCCAAAAAAGGCTGTTTGGGACACCCAAGGACCACTGTAGGCTGCAGAAGCCCACCCAAAGTGAAACTGGGAGGGACTGGGAATCCACTTCTAGTTCTACTTTTTTTTAAAACCCTTTTATACTGCCCGTGGCCAAGGCTATCTGGGGCATGTGGGGATTTCTAGTGCCTTTTCCAAGCTTTGAGATGGAAGACGTTGTTCGGCGCCAAGGGAGAGTTTTCCCTCTGTCTCCATGCAATGTGGTTTGTATGTTGGGGTTGCCGACCTTTGATATGAGGTTTCCAGGCTATGGGCTTATAGGAGGTCAGTTTCGGGGTACCCAGCCTTCGCTCCTCATGGCTTCAAGCCATCTTGGTTTCAGCCGAACCTCCTTCCAGTGCTCCAGCTCAGACTGAGAACATGAGAAATCAAAACAAAGAGCGCGCCCGAGCATGTCCAGAGTTTTTCTCCTTTAACTATAGCTTTGAACAGTTTTAGACTTTAGCTGCAGCCCTTCCCAGCCCCAATGAATCTTGACTCCCAGATTGTTTAAATAAGCAGCCCCAAAGGTGCCACTTCTTCAGTGCAGCTGTTTTTTAATCTTCCCAGATGTTGACTTTGATGGAAGGCCAGGCCTCTTACCTGGAACAAGGGTTCCTGGTAGCAAAACAGCTGGAGCAGTATCGCAAAGACCTGGCAGGGCAGGTGAGCAGAAATGGACTAGTGTGTGTGTGCGTGTGTGTGTGTGTGTGGAGGATACATTGGAACAGGGCCACAGAGGAAATGCGGGATCTGATACCGTCCCTTCTGCTTGGTAGTAGCCATGAGGAGGGAGGAAGCCAAAGGGGAGGGAACGGGCCCGGCTGCCAGGAGAGCAAAAAGGGTCAGACAAACAGGATGCAGGGATTCAGCGTCCAGATTCAACCGTTTTAAGAAGGGCATTGGCAAACGGGAGCGCATGCCCGCAGGTGGTTCTCCGGGATGGCGATCTTTCCAGGGATCAAGTCCAGCCAGAAGGCGTTGAGGAAGGCGAGCATGTTCGGCCTGGGGGGAGAGGAGACGGATGGGGGGGGTTGTGGTCCCGGAGCTGAAAAAAACCTTAAAAAGGCTGCCGTGCAGAAGATGGCGCAAATTTACCGTCTGTTGATGTTAGGGCTAGACATAACGGGTGGATTATTCCAGGGCCGTGCCTCCCTTGGTGAACCTGCTCAAGTGTTCATCAGGAGAGGCCTTTCATTCAGTCCCGCCACCTTCACAGGTAAATTTAGTGGACACACAGGAGAGGGCCTTCGCTGTGGCTGCTCTTTTAGACTCTGGAACTCCCTGCCACTGGAGGCCAGTCTGGCCCCGTCTTTGCTCTCCTTCCGCAAGCAAGCCAATACCTTTCTCTTCTCTCCATGACTGGTTGCCTGCATGGGATTTTATACAGATTGTTGTGCCTTTCCTGCTTTGGCTGTGTTTTTAGTATTGCTTGTGTTTATCCTTTCTTGTTTGTTCTTTTTCAGCATTTGTAAACAGATAGTTTTTAGCTTTAAATGTTGTCTTTTAATGATGTAAGCCCTCTCGGGTCTTTTTTAAAGGACAAAGGCGGGGTAAAATAGGTTAAATGAATGAATGAACAAATGAACAAACAAACAAACAAACAAATAAAAGATTAGCCATATAATCCATCCATCAATAAAATGTTCTGATACGATATAAAGGCCAGAATTGTGAATGTTGTTCCTAGTAATTCAGGGTCAACCCCCTGCTTTTATTTTTTTTGAACTGGGTTTCCAACTGTGTCTTAAAGCTGGTTTTTGATTTTTGTTCTGGTTTCGCTCCCGAGGAAGATCATTTAGTCCAAAATGTTTCACGTTTTAAGGGGAATCCCGTTCTTAACGTATTTGCCATAGGCAAACTTATTTGAACAAACTGGTAAAAAAGCAACAAAGTTTTTGAAACTTAAAAGTGTTATGACGAGAGGCGCCGTATGTGAGCCAAAAAGTGCGAACCAACTTATAGGGACCTTAATAAGCCTTTTTAAGGAAAGTGAGATATTTAAGGAATGGTTTTACCCGTGCAAACCTGCCCTGTGAGTTCCCATGGCCGAGCAGGGATCGGAGCCCAAATCTCCTGATTTCCAACACTCCATCATTCTGGGTATCGTTGTGAGGAGGAGATGAGTTTTAGGTGGACAAGATCTGGAGGGCATCAAATGTGGCTTCTTTTAAAATTCAGATTTCCCCAGGTTTTTCAACCCAGAATTCTGAAGGGAGCTTTGGTACACCCATACCCCAAAAGGATGGGCAAAAGAACAGTGGGGTGGCTGGAGATATGGGGCAGAGGGGGGTGGTTCCATGGCCCCAGATCTCCATGACCTTCAGTTTTTGTCCGGCTGGGTCGGTGGGCAGCTTCCTCCTTTCTGTAATCCCGTTGACATTGCATTTGTGCAGTGTAAGCCAAAGCGTCCGGGTTCAAATCTTCCCCAGCCGTTTCCTGCCTGCAGCGACACCCTTCCCTGCGAAATGACCCCTGATCTGTGTTTTGACTCAGAGGCGGGGGGGGGCTGAGGTCCAAATTGTCCTTGGTGGCTTTCCCAGCCCTTGTTTTTTTGGAAGGGAAAAATATCAAATATCAGCTGCTTTGAGTGGGGTGGGGAACCCACCCCATCAGCAGAGTTTCTGTGTCTTTTTTGTCCCGCTGAAAGGAGAAGGGAAAAATATCAAATATCAGCTGTTTTGAGTGGGGTGGGGAACTCACCCCATCAGCAGAGTTTATGTGCCTTTTTTGTCCCACTGAACGGAAAAGAACCCAGGCGTCCGGCCTCACTCCCTCTCACTCCCCCTTTTTTTCTTCTTCTCTCCCCCCCCAGCTCCATCAGTTGGTCCTGGAGGCCGCCCGAGAGAAACGGGACATGGAGCAGAGACACACGGTGGTCAAGCAGAAGGTAAAGCGTCTTTTCTCCTTCTTTTTTTAATTTTTTTGGGGTTATGGGAATTGATCCAGCAACCTGCCTGTGAGGTTAGTCATCACCCTGCTCTTCCAAATTTGCTCCTGCATGATGAGAGCTTGAGAATGAATGAATGAAAGTCTGTGTGTGTGTGTGTGTTTGTGTGTGTGTGTGTCCTGGGGAGAGCGGCTCTAAGGGTTTCATGGCAATAGGAAAGAGCAGCAGGGGGAGGGGCCTAGAGGAGAGGGGAGGAGCTCATCAGCAATGGGGCGGAGCTTGAGCCAAAAAACCCCCAAAGAGGAGATTGAGATGGTTCTGTTTTTTGCTTGACTTTCGGGAGATGATCGTTTTCTTGTTGCTGCTGCTGCTGCTCACTGTATCTTGAGCTGGGTCTTTGTCTCGTCTCGCCTTTTCGCAGGACCTCTCGCAAGAAGACTTTGGCCCCGAAGTCCGAACAGAACCAGGCGGAGTGGTGATGGAGGGGTATCTGTATAAACGGGCCAGTAATGCCTTCAAAACGTGGAGCCGGTGAGCGAAGCCTGTTCTGAGTCTCCTAAATGCTTTTATATCACTCTTTTCCCCCTTTAAGCTAAAAGAGGGCAAGGTAGAGAAATTGCTTATTCAGTCTTCACTATTCAGGTTGTTTGGTATAAAATATTTTTCTGCTCATCGGTGTCCAAGATCCTAAGCCCTGGCCTATTTTTCTGCGTTCCTCAGGTGATCACACAAACCACTGTCCATCCTCCTCCCTTTCTGATCAGTTTCTCCCCTGCTCTTTTCTGGAATGTCCTGCTTCAGGGGCCCCCCACTGAGAAACTAAACCAAGGACCGGCTGCCATTCCAGGTTTAATCTTGTTTATCGCAAGCCTTGATTGAAAGAAGTCCACTTCTCCCGATGCGTTGTGGACTGCTTTCCACAAAAGCGGATGCCAAAGAAAACATCTTAGGCTTCAGGGTTCCACAAGGCTCTTTGCCTTTTGAATGATGGCTAGTTAGCCAGTCACAAACCATGATTGGAAACCATGGTTTGTTGTTGGCTTACCGATGCTGGGTTTGTTCAGACTAGAGTTTCCAACCTTCACGTTTGGGACGATTGGAATTCTTGTGCCGCCAAGCTCTTCCGCCTCGCCTCTTTGCCTCTCCTCCCTCCACCTGTGGCAGATTTTAACTTCTTCATAACAATCTCTGTGTTGTTGTTTTTTAATTACAGGCGTTGGTTTTCTATCCAGAGCAACCAGCTGGTCTACCAGAAAAAGGCCAAGGTGAGGAGATAGGTTTGGGGGGAGCAGTGACATGATCTTTTCTTTTTCTTTTTTTTTTAAGGAAGGATGGAGTAAAACTCAGACGTACGCAAGGTGTGGCCGAAGGTTTAGATAGAAGGGGAAAGCTTTGGGTTGATTTTGCTCACGGGTTTTCTGCTTCGTGCTTCCCCAAATAAAGCCTTGTCCGGTATCCTCTAGAGTTTTTCGGACACCACTCCCAGTGGGGAGTTCTAGACTGACCTTCTTATAATTATCATAATAATCATCCTAGAACTACAGAGCTGGAAGGGAGCCAGACGGGGCGGGGGGGAATTGAACTCCCAACGTCTGGCTCCAGAGCCAGAGACGTCAAACACGGAGCTGTCCAGGAGCTTTGATGGTTCATTCATGATCTGATGATCTTGCCACCACTGGTTAACAAAACATGTCAAAGTGAAAGGCCACAAAGCCCTGCATGGTTTGGAGTTGGCCTTGCCAGTTTGAGGCTGAGAATCAGGGGGGCCCGGCAGGTCCGTCACGGATCTGACCCTTTTGTCTCCATTTTGTCTCCAGGATGCAGTGACGGTGGTGGTGGAAGATCTCCGCCTGTGCACCGTCAAACCCTGCCCGGACCATGAGCGGCGCTTCTGCTTTGAGGTGGTGTCGCCCTCCAAGTGAGTGTGCC